CTGTGAGTCAGAACCAACTCCGTGGCACCTAACAACAGAAACAAGCCTTATAGATCTATGATCTCATTTGATTCTTGCAGCCTCTCTCTGATGTTCAGATTTTACCCATTGGTTATTTGGAGAAAGTGAGCAGCTTTCATTCATTCTCAGCATGATCAAGGGACAAGAAGGTGGTCAGTGTGACTGGAACAGAGTGTATGTGTTTCTGTGGAGGAGGATGGTGAAACTTCAGGTGTGTGGACTGGACTGTGTCCCCCTAACATACGTGCTATGAATCTTAACCCCTGTACCTGTGGCTGCCTGGTCCTTACCATACTCACTATCACTGCTATATATGAGCTATATATAAAACAGTGTTTTGTTCTGCTGTGTACAGGATGGGTGAGTGGGAACTGACTCCAGGGCACCACACAACAACATACCTGTGGCTACCCTCCCATTCGGAATGGGTTTTGTTATAAGTGGCCGTATCAGCATTGGGTGTGGTCTGAACCAACACTTATGAGATTTCAAGAGTAGACTAGGACAGAAAAGCCAGCAGAGTTGGGCGAAGAGAGATGCCACGTGAAGATCACCAAGGAGCCAAGAAGCCCTAGAGCTGATGGAGAGAGAGAGCCCTCCCTAGAGTCGGCTGCCAGCAGTTGGACTTCTAATCTCTGAACTGTGAGAAAATAAATCTTTAATTGTTACAGCCACGCTCATGTCGTATTTCTGTTACAGCAGCAACAGATGTCTAAGACTTCAAGTAAGAGATGTCACAGGGCCAGCTGTATAAGCCTTGCAGATCAGTTCAAGGACTTTTTGTTTGAGAATAGTCTCTGGGGAGGTGGGAATGAGAGGTGGGAAGGCCTGAAAGTGGGGAAATGAATAGGTGACTGTAGCAGTAACGCAGGCAAGGACGTGACAGTGGCTCAGACCAGGCAGCAGTAATGAAATAGGGGGGAAATCACCAGAGTTCAGGTGTGTTTTGAAAATTGAACCAAAAGAACTTGCTGATGGGTGTGGGCCATGGAAGGCCTTCCCCATGGCCGTCTAGCTGGTGGTGGAC